AATTATTTTTACAATTTAACTGAAAATTTTAGGCGTTTTATAAAACGTCAAATAACTATGTTTTACTGTAAACTCATCTTAATTTTCATTTTCTTTAGAATTTGACTGATTTTCTCCAGTCGTTTTGTAAACGACTGAAATTCAATTAGGCTTTTCCTGAAATATTAATCTACCTATATTATTGCTAGATCGTACAATTTGCGTACAAATAAAAAGTATTTTTTAATTCTACATAATATGGCATGAAAAAATAAATAGTAATCCTTACATTTGATTTTTTTAACATTAATAGAGTTAAGATCTAAGTCTACAAAGTTTAAAATAAGTATTATGTTATATATTTGGGCAATCTCCATTATGGGTCTTCTACATCTTGAAACCCAAATTTTTTAAGTGAAAATAGCAAGAAAATACTGCTAATTTAGCGCTTGTTTACATAATGTCATACCTCTGTACAAACTACTAGAAAATTTATAATCCGCATCTGCCTTACAACTGGTCTAATTCGAGAACAGTCTAATTATAATACGCCTGAATATGTTCAATTTATTATAGGCCCTTTTATAATAAGACTAGCTAAGGCATTGTATAAAAAGACTGAATTTGCAATTAATCTATGACATATGTAATCTGACAGTTTTTGGGAAATTTCTTTGATCACTGAGTGGACTAAAAATTACAAAAATTAAGTAGGATGTAGTGTTTTACTTGTATGACGTTTTAGAACTAGATGATTCAACTAAAACGATTTTTATTATAAAAAATAAAGATGGAAACCTATGTAGCATTTTCATGTATTTGTAATTTAATAGATTTATGAGTCTTCAGATTAAAAGGGGTTTTTGGATTAAAGGTGATTAATTTAAATACTTTTACGGGTATCATAAAACTTAATGACTTAATGTACAGCTGTCCGAAGTTCGAAAATAAGGCCATCGTCCTTGGCAGAAATTATTATCATTATACACAAACAGTCTTAAAAAACATAGAGATTCTTAAAAAATATCACTAATGTAGAAGTTACGGTCTTAATTTGATATTTACTTTGGTAATTCACGACTCTCTGTTAGTTTTTCTACCATAGTATAATCTAGCATTTAGCAAAAGCAGCCAAAGTTATGTGCAAAACCGTACTTAACTTATCAACTTCCACGTCACCTGCTACATGGGTGTTATATAACAATGAAAGAGTAATATTAACGGTCGATAGAAGGGAGCACAAAAAACAAGCACTTAGGTAGGAAATTCTGGAAGGAAGCCTAAATAGTTAGTTGAAGATAGGCAGTTGAAGTGAGAACAGCGCGGAGTGAAAAGCAAGACGATCAGTGTAGTGTGAAAAATATAGAAGTGGAAAATTAAGTGTTTAACCGGTATTTGTTAGCAGGTAATNTACAAGAATACAAGCTGTTGAAGTTCATAAAAATAGTATTTTCCTAATATTTCCAGAACGGCGCAGTAAATGTTGCTGGCAATTGCTACTTTCCTGTGAGGAACTAGCAGAATACTAAAGGTCAGTGCCGTACAATCACCACTATATTGATCTTTAAAAAAAAATGTTGCACCGTTGAGTAATATTGGAAATAATCTGTTTTTTAGATTTCGTTTTCATTCACTACGGAAAAGCATCCTTACATTTTTTCAGTAATATCTTTCAGTAAAAAAATAATATGGATTTACAAAAACAATTAATGGAATAATACTTCTCTACTAAAATGATGGCTTCAAACTATAGGATGATAAAATCGTTTATATTAAATTGTAGCCACTATAATTCGGCCCTGTCCCTGTCCTATTGTTAACTGCTTATAATCACTTTTGAGACAATGTTATTAAAATGTTTAAATGTGTTTTAAAAATGCAGAAGATAAAAAATCGAATTCCTAAAATCAAGTAGCCATGATTTAATAGCCAACAAAAGCACTTACTGTCATTATCACTAATTTTTAAATGTAATAAATAATTGTTTGAATATTAATGTGTAGGTACTATGTGCGTGATTTTTTTTTTTCAAAATGAATGATTTTACTAGGTACAANACTTTTTTCGAGTTTCTCTTTTATTTTCGCTAATTTTCCTGGTGTATATATATGGCACACTAAAAAGCGGTGTCTAGGGGTTCAATTGACGAATGATCTTAGCTGTTTACTAGATGTTACAGCTGTAATTCAATGCTGGAGCAAGCTTCAATCCACAAATAAATTTCTTCCCACAATGTCATTAGGTAGTTATAAACTGTTTTGTTTTTTTAATCGATACCTACTGTAAGTTTAAATTCGACTACATTTCTTTAACACCTTGTGTAAAAACGCAAGAAGGTGCTATAAAACTTTTTAATTTTTATGTTATTTTTCAATTCAATACTTTTTGGTCCTACTTCTTAGGATTTTGTATTGATACGAATTTTTCCTGCACCATTCTACTCAGTCTCTTTTAAATCTCTTAGGGCTGTATTTTTTCGGTATACGTACTTTAGGCTATTTCTAAATAAATTTATGTAAGTATGTTTAAAACATGATGGAGAGATTGTATTTTACAGAGTTGTATTTTAATTATAATAGAGACATTTATGTATTCTAATTTTAAGTATATAATCGAAAAAATAAATAATAGTCTAATAAAACTCATGTTAGTAACATTTTTCAGGAAATCTTGTTTACTTTAATTTAAATATAGGGAATAATGTCAACTACTAATTTGAAGAAAAAATATCTTTCCAAACTCCTACTAAATTTGTTAAAATATTTTTTTTGAAAATTACTTTTTATACAAAACAGAATCGTTTTATTAATCGGTATGAAATAGCTGGGCAACTTATTTTTATAAAAGAATAGCATAATTGTTCCACGATAATTTTATATTTGCCATAAAAATATCTGCTGGATCGATAAAAACAACTTTATTAAAGATTTAGTGACCGTTCTTCCAAAATTTAGGCATTAAAATATAATGTATCTAATCTAGAAAATATTTTTAAATAAGTATTAGATAATTAAATGCTTGTATTCATTTGTTTAAGTCTTAAGATGGTAAATTTAATTTAAAAAGTTAAAATTAACTTGCTTTTTTCTATGGCTACTTATGGCTAATAGATAAACGTATTCGACATTACATTTTCTGCATCAAATTAAAACCAATGCCTTTAAATTTGTAGGAATACATGGCGAAAGTACCACGTATTTTTCTGGTTGCGATCTAAAATGCAAGAAATTTTCTAGTAAATTCTAATAATACACATAAAAAATGTTTTCCAGAAACCATTTTTGAACAACTAAGTACAACAATTTTTCACGCCAATAAAATAAATTGATATTAAATTGGTAGTTAGAAACACATCCTTTCTCATAACTAAAACATGACAAATAATTGTCCCTCCGCGAATTCTATAATAGCTACTTATTTCAGAGAAATGAGACATGTTTTTCTTACTTATTATTTGGAAAATATATGCATTGAATAAGATACAAGTAGGTATATCAAACTCTTCCGTTATGTTACTTACAATATTATCTGACACGTTTGGTGATAAGTGATTTTACTATGTCTCCCACACCTACTATTAGTAATTTATATTTATAATATCTGTAGCTACGTAATTGCCATAAAAAATAAGTGGGTATAATAGACAGTTAAACCAAATAATAATAATTTTTATTTAGCTTTAAAGATACTGGACAAACACAAATTAATTATTATAATCTATACTCACTATTTGTTCCTAAGCTTCTGTATGTATAAATAAATCGGCGTCTAGTTACTGGTTTGTTACATCTTGTTTTTAATTTTTAAATTGGCATGGCAAAGTTATTTTAGAGTTGTTTTTACATTTTAAATTTAATATTTACATCATTTATTTGAATTTTCATGAAGGCAGACCAAAACCAATTGTAAAATAATTTATTGGACTAAAATGATAATTTCTACAAAACTAGAGATAAAATAATAAGACGAAGATTTGCTTATTAATCTCTATCCAAGTAGCACCACTGGAAAATTATACCCACTCCTGATAATTGAAATTCTATTAAATAATGCTGTAAATTTTCAATGAAATTTTCTCGTATTATTGTTTATGATGCAATACCTCTATAGTAGGTATGTTATTTAATAGTGTATATTTAACTAATGTTCCCCCTTCTGTAAAAGGGGAATATATATATAGATGTTTGAATATTATCTAACACATTTTAGATTATACATAAAATACATAATTTCTAGTGAAAATACCATTTCGATGCGACAATTACAAGTGTTGACATTATATGCAAATTAATATGATTGAATGGATTTGATTTAAGTTAAGTAGTTGCTAACGATCTCTGGATTTATTCGTTTAGAATATTCGATGACAAATATTATATAAGTAGGACATATACTATGACTTTATTTGATGAAAACTTAAGAGAAATTTATAATCAAATTGGATTGGCTTAGTACCACTTACAAGAGCTGAGACTGTAATAAAAAAATAATAATTTTCCTAATAGACAATCGCCAAGTCTTTGTCTGTATTAAAATTAATATTGATAGAGATAATTAGTATTGTTTACATTCTTTAATATTTATCTAAATTCCAAATTGGACTCATTTTTCTAGTTTAAGCCCTTTTATTAATTCGATGGGTAATGTAATTAGAATATATATTTCTAAATTTATATCAAGGACACTTGTATAAGGACATTAACCTGGAATTAACTTTGAAGGTAGATAAGGTTCTATGTATAATACCAACTCATAAAATTTATTGCACTTGGTCAAAGTCAAAGGAGGTCTGACCACTAAATAACCTGAATATTCTAGGAATCGGTTGATCTTTAACTGTAAAAGTTTTTGGCCATGCTTAAAGGGTAAAGATTTTATTAGAATTAATATTGTGTGATATTTTAAGTTTAATCTACAATCTTAATCTCGTTGCAGGAGTGAAAAATAAAAACCAGACTTATAATTGGCAATAAACGAATATATTCAGTTCAATTATATATTATTTTAATACTGTACATCTCTTTGCAGAGCTAACGTCACAATAAATATCAAATTTACAAGAATTTACAAGCTATATACAAAAAAAATATATACAAAAATAAAAACATAAAGCTTACAGACGTCGATGAGATCAAAGCAGAACTACGTTATTCTTTAAAATTTTCAGTTAAAGCTAGAGGACAATCAGCTCTGCCTGCTTATCACTGTTACGGGTTTAAACAAATTTTCCGGACTAGGGAGAGGTTCCGGCGAACTGGATGAACTAGCAGGAGATAAAGCCATCTGCTGCGACATCATGGGATGATGCTGGGGTATTCTGAAGCCGCTGTAGAACTCCATGGGTTGTCTGAAGAATGGAGAGTTCATGTCAACCGTTGGAGGAGCTGCCGCCAACAATCTCTCCATGTTAAAGGGTTGGTTGTGCTGTGGTTGTATAGGAGACGGCCGTAAAACCGTCGGCGTAGCACTAGCGTGCAAATAGGGATTGTACCTTTGATATGCAGCCGCCAAAAGAGCTGGACTTGGTGGATAAAACGTCGGATATAAAGGTTGCATAGGGTACATCGACAATGTGCGTTTGAAAGCCGCTAGCCTAGACCTGGATGCTGCCGTGGACCGTCGGCGGAGCTTGCCTGTAGTTCCCCCTATGAAAACGTCTTCAGCAGAGGGGTCTAACATCCAATAATTGCCTTTGCCTGGATCGTCATAATGTCGGGGCACTTTCACAAAACATTTATTTAAGCTCAAGTTGTGCCTGATGGAGTTCTGCCATCCTTGCTTGTTTTCTCTATAGTACGGAAAATTGCACATAATATATTCGTAGATGCCGTTAAGAGTTAAACGTTTCTCAGGACTGTTCCTTATAGCCATCATGATTAAAGCGTTATAGCTGTATGGAGGTTTCTCTTTGGACTTTTTATCTTCTGAATCATCCTTACCGTCTTGAGGAGACTTTGAGCAATTCGAAGCTGATGCTTCATCGTCACCGGTAACGTCTAAATCACAATCAGAATCACTTAGTTCCGGTTCGGACACTTCCTGAACTTTTGTTGCTGCGGGACTTTTAGGCGCTTCTAACGCAGTTTCTGGAAACAGCGAACTGATGGAAAACGACGACTTCAGTGGTGTACGGGCCATAGTGGGTACTACTAGAATCGTTTCTTCTCTTTTCACCATATTTTTTACAGTTAGACAGTCACTTATCACAATCACTGAACTACTCTACTCTACTAACAAACCAACACTGAGCTAGAAGAGGGTATACTGAAACCGGTTCCAACAGGGAGAAGTATAAATAACCCCTATTTTGCCTCGGCCAATAGCGTTCGGCCAATAGAAGTCGGGAAGGCGCCGTTGCTCCTCCTATTCGCTTTCTGACCCCACCTCTGTTTTCGGTAGGGATGTGTGATGTATTAAGTTGTTTGCTGACAGTTGGGGGGTTCGATGTGTTTATTTTGTAAATTTGCTGGTAACATTTGGCTACACCGCATGGTGTCTAAGTGGAAGTAATATGCGGGCTTCTTATGATGTGTCAATAGGAGAGGAAGAAAAGTTTTAGATGGCGCACCTGGCTTTTGGAATCACAGTTGTAAATGTAAATTAATGTATAGATTTCAGGGTTCGTGGTAGTATGATTGCCATCGAATTGAATAAAAGGTGCTTACCTACATATGTGTTCAAAATACATTTTTAATGCATTTATTATATAGAATATAATACCTAATCAGGTGTTATTAATAGTAAAGATAAATAAAAAAATTTGTTCCGGCAGAGTACTTAAAATTTTCCTTGTTTTTTTTAACTTGTCTAGGAATTTACTTTTTGTAAAAAAATTATTGGGGTCCTGTGATATTAATATAATTTATTTTTCTAAACTGCTCTGTTACATTTGATCATATTAACACATATACGTACAGTATGTGCACGATTAAAGTGGAAAATATTTTTACTTTTTATTTTACGAGAAAAAGATATTCTTTTTATTAAACATTAAAGAACATATATATTTCTCTAAAATGATAGTTTACATTTTTTAGAGTAGATTGAAAAAAAAAATTATAAAATTCACTAATTTTTCTGCTTGTTATGTTTTTTTTTATATTTCTGAAATCATCCCTTAACTTCTATCTTCCCTAACTCTGTTAATTTTAATAGTACAAAAAAGTCAATTGACCATTTTATATAGAATTTTATGCTCTACAACTTTTATAGGAAACTTTTTTTCTAGCTCTTACCCCTTTTGAGTTATCTTAAAAAAAACCTTTATTATATCTTTTTTCACCCTGACCTAGGGTTGAACAAAAAGTTACTGACACTTCTTGTTATTATATACCTCAAACTAACTTATATAAAAAACTCGAGCAAGTTCACCAAAATTGCGATTTATTTAATTGGACACTATCATCACTAGTAAAGTCAATCATCAAAATTTAAAATTAATTTCTTTTCATTAGTGGGCTGTTCTAAGAAAAACTAATAAAAAATTATGAGCGAATTCTCTGCATCTGAGTAATTCAGATGAAAATGAGTTTCCAAACTCGTGTCTATTTGTTTTTTTAACTTTTTGACGATCCTGAAATCGGGCTTACCTTACCGCATACAATTTATTTTTTTTAAGTCAAATCTTAAGAGTTTCCGATTTAATGTTCCACAAAAATATTTTAAATACAGGTAATGAATAATTTCAATATACATATTTAATATTCAACATTCTTAAAATACTATTTTAAATAATAAGTATTTTATATTTAAAATACTTTGCCAAAGAAGTATTTTGTGTTCAAGTATTTTAAACTGCTTTCGTACTAGTATTTTGTAATTTAATTTTAAATACATTTTGAAAGTATTTTGCCCAGCTCTGATAGAAACATTAGCATTAAGGTTTCATAATTGGCAAAAGACTTGTGAAGAACTTGATCTGCAAATAAACGGTAATCATATATGACACGAGGTACAGAATGTGTTACATTTTTAGGGCTTTATATTGACGAATGTTTAACGTGGAAGTCTCATTGTGACCATATAGTTATGAAATTAAATTCTGTATTTTATCAGTATAACAATCTTAAAAATAGTTTTAAACATTAATCAGCTAATACATATATATTACGCTGAAGTTGAATCCCGATTGCGATATGGAATATGTTTTTGGGGGCAGTCTTCAATGTCAGGCAATGTTTTTGTTGCACAAAAAAAATATTGAGAGTAATATTTCATATGCCATATTTTGTTAGCTGGGGGATTTATTTATAAAACACCAAATTTTAACAATGGTATCTCTCTTAATATATGAGTTTTGTTTGTATATACATAATAATCAGGACAAATTTATAAAACATGATAATATCCACTCTATAAATACAAGACAAAAAAATAATTTTTGCGTGCCTTTTTATAGGTTAAATGTTGCCAGCAGATCACCCAATTACTTGGGTCTTAAAATATGCAATAAGTTCTAAACCAAAGAGTTGCTGATCGACTGGGCTATTTAAAAAGCGCTTAAAGCAACATTTAGTATACAATGGATTTTATGATGTTAACGAATACTTTGATGTATAATATATGTGTATTTGTTGTTTATTAAAGTATTATTTTGTATATTTAGTATTTATGAATTTTATGTAGCTATTACACTTTTATTGACAATTCCAATACAATTTGTAAATTGTCTAATGGAAATAAAGAAATTGAAATACCTACCTACATATTATTCTATATTCCAAAAATGTAGGTATATTTTATTAAAGATACGGACCGTTAATGTGTACATAAAATAACAGAGAATCTAGATCGAGAGAAAGAAAGGTCTAGAAAAATCGAATATTTTTCAACTACGCCATATTCCATTCTTCAAATTTTACAGAATATCCACTTTTCAGCGTTTTTGTCGTTGTATACATTTTATACACCAATTTCTGTAAAAAGTGTTTTAACATTGAAAAAATATTCCTTTGTTGTGTTTTTTTTTAATTATTATATTTTTTTAAGTAGATAAAAAATTAGTATTTCATTTAAAACCCTTGCAAAATGTACAAAATATCAAAATAGCAAAATAGCAAAAAAGTACAAGATCGCTTGCATAAATCGTACCAGTTAACACCCCTTATCGTATGTTTATTGCTTCCATATAAAACTGGAATTAAAGACAGTTTTCGTTTAAAATTTGTATTTAAAAGATAAGTACTTGCTGAAGGAAATACATAAATTCATAAATGCATAACAAATTGAATAGAACTTTTCAATTAATGAAATAGGCAGTGCCTATTGTATACGCAAGGAAAAGTGACACATATTGTTGACACTTGTAACATACTTTCGAATATGTATTTTTTGGATCAATATACAAAGCGAACCTCTTTTGTCTACTATTTCTGTTATTACAGTATCCATTTCCTTCATTCGATACAATTAAGTGCAGTGTAGTACGATGCAGGCAACTGATCACATCCTTTTTTAACCCAAAAATATTTCTAATTAGCGACTTATGGTTATGGTTAAAATGACATGAGGTAGTCAGAATATCGGATATTCTTCTTCTTTTCCTAGTGGTTGGTTCTGATAAGTCATATAGCATCACGGCCTTATTAGGCCTATTGTGCGTTTCACTACTTAGTCCTATTCAGCTAGTAGTTTTGTCCTTTTAACAAAGTCCAAAAGTTTCCTTGCTGACACTTTTTTCAGCACCTTGGGTTCCAATTAGGGTCTCCCAGGAGCGTCATTCAAACTACGTGCAAATCCCGGACACTCGCCTAGGATATGCAGAGAAGTTTCATCCACCGAGCTCCATCCTCGGCAGACCGGACTGTCTACAAGACTAGCAAAATTGTGGAAACTACTGACTGTCTTTTCTAAAAATCATAGAAACGGAAAAAGTTCTCAAATTAATTAATTGTAATGTTAGAATCTTTAAATAATCACGACAACTTAGGTAAGTATTGTTCTGGAGTTTTGTAGCACCAGTTACATTATTAGAGTAAAAATTCAATTTAAGTTGGAATAATAGCGGATACAGAAAGAAGAAATTGTAATAAAAAATTGACTGTTAAAAATGGAATGCTAGATATCAAATTTACGAAAAATAAACACATTCATACACATTTAATAAATTTGAATGGAATATGCAATTATAAAATAAATTACCTAACAAAAAAGTTTATTTCATATAAAAATGTGTGTGGAAAATGGAATGCCAAAAATCAAATTCACGAAAATAAGGGCCACATATGCATTTAAAAAATTTGAATGGTACCTATATACAATTATAAAATAAACTACCTATCAAAAAAGTTAATATCATGTTATGTGAGAATAAAATAAAAAGAATTGTATCAAAGTAGTTGCAATGAGTAAGAAAATAAAATTTAGTTTTAATAAGTAGAAGTTAGTGAACGTTTGAAGAACTTATATTCAAAAAACTTCAATATAATCAACCAGTTATATGTATAAAGTATATAAAAAAGAACTAATAGAAGTTTTAAGGGCATAGTGGAAGAATTTTCTATAAAAACTTACTCCGTTCAACACGGAAGTCCAACAAGATTTTCGGCATTCATTTGTATTGGGAAAATGTATTTAAGTAGTATCAGAATTCGTCATGATCGAATCTAAATTAAAACACGTAAAGCCAAGCATTGATTTGCAACATCAAAAGAAAACAATTGAATACACAAAAACAAAGACAAACATTAAGATGGGGTTAGGATTAACCAGGGAAGGTACGACGAAAAAAAAAACAAATAAAGAAAACATACCGATGCCTATAGGCAAACAGATGTCAGAGTAACTAGGTTTCTTGAAATGAATATCTGTAAACCAATTCTAAATTGTGCTTTTTAATTTAAAATAAATTGTAAATTTGTAAAGATTTGGTTGCTCTTCAAAGTTAAAATTTAGAGTGGTAAGTAAACAATAAAAATAGGTAGCAAAAAATTTATACCTACTAAATTAGTAAAAAACGAAGGCAAGTGAAAATTAAAGTCAAATAAGCCAATAATTTGTCTGTGGAAATGGAATTCCTATCTGAAGAAAAGTAGTTTACAGTCCATACAACAGAAACAAAGTAATTAACACAAATTTTTATTGCGATACTGTAAGTAGGTATTCAAAAATATTATTCCCCATTTTTTTTTTTAATAAGAAGGTGTAAGCGTTCCTCTAGAAAAGATGTTCCAATCCATAAAAATATCAACTGATACATCAGGGGCTTTCAGTAAGAGCAAGTATATAAAATCTCGGGAAATCTT